GAGAGGTACCTACCCCCCTTACGGGAGCTTCATGTTTCATCGCTACCTCTTGTTATCGTTTCATACATGATAAAATTAATGATTCTTCGCCGCCTTAATACGATAAAAATCTAAGAACATGAGATACTGAGTAGGTTGAGTAAACTAAAAGGAATGATAATGCCGTTCGGTCCCTCATATCGGAGAGAGGGCTCGACTTAGCCAAAATGCCGGTCACTCGTTTTAGCTTCTGTTTCTTGGTTACGATACCATCTATACAGAATTCTCAGTGGCAGTCCGGAATTTCATTTAAATTTAAGTAGTATTAGAACTTCTCTTGAAAGAGAACACCTTGGCATGTACAAATAAAATGAAACTGAGTGGTCAGATGTACAGATCTGCTAATTCACTCAATAATTCATTAAGCGTAAAAATAGGTAAAGATTGTTGCGGAAAATTGCAAGATCTTTTAAAGACATTATTACAAAATAGAACCTTGGAAGTGAAAAAGATAACTTTCCCTTTATTTTTAATCTCCGCTTTATAAATTTCCTTTTTATTTCTGCAGTTCATCCTCCGTGATATTTGTTTTTATGGCAACAGATGTATCACATATAAAATGTAATTTGGTGATAGTAATATTTTGATTTATGTCTGCCAAAATAAAACGGACATGATGAATACAATAAGATAGTTACAATAAAAAAAATTGCAGCGAGAATTTTAGAAGTATTCCAAGAAACCCCATGCTGAGGATAGACTACTCGGTAAGTTTAACTGAAGCTTTGCTGTTGATTTCCTATTAACTGTTTAGATATATTATCCTTTTCGCTTAATTAAAAAATAATCGTCCTCCTGAGTCTCTCCTAAAACCACGAGAGTTTCGGGCTACCTCTCTTCTAGAAAACAATTTGAAGAGCTTTGATCAACTCACGCAGTGTTGGACAAGATTTGTACATAGATGGGTGACTGTATAAACTCTCCTTGCTGTAAACGTTCTTTACCTTTATTTACTGGATCGTATTCACTTCCAAGTTGAGATCACAAATGTTTTTAAGCTTCGTAAACTCGAGATCTCATCACACAAAGTTTTGGAAACTGATGTAGCCTTATGGAGAATCGAGAACTCTTTAGCGTATTTGCTAAACCTGACTGATCTAGGAGTTTATGTTTTACGCGTTAAAAACTGTGCAAAAAAAATGCTAATGTTTAAAAGAGGATTTGGCGGGTAGAGGGTCTGGTAAAGTTTTGCCTTGGATTAGAAACTGCAAAACAAAACAATAATGGGAAATGCGAATGAAATGGATAAAATTTGTAATTTTTTGTCTGGTCTCGGCTGCTTCCGCCGTAAATCAATTGAGCCTGATCGAGGTTGTTGAATTCACATGAAAATATTCAGTCAAAGCAAAGTGAAAAGAAATATTGAAACTTCAAAAAAGCATCCGTTGGAATCAATGAATTTTTTAGATCAAATCAAAAAGCTCTTTTCAAACCAATTTAAAACAATTTCGCTCTGCTTAGCTTTTGTTGCAATTAATTTACCTTGGGTCATCCCTATATCAATTGTTTTAAAGAATATGAGTGGCCGTAAAATCAGACCGGTCTGATGAAAAGGTTCGTTTATCAACCAGAGCTCTCCGGCTGGCTCAGTCAATTCTTAAGTTAAATCTATCATTCTGATGAAATATTTAATTTACAATTGGTAAGAACTTCCATTACATTTGTTGTTTCGTTCTGTTAAAATTAACCCTGTAGAGAACATGATACCCAGGAAAGCCTCTTGAATGTGTTTAAGACAAAATCTTAACCAAGATCTTTGTTCCTAATGAAACCGGAATTGAAGGAATATATTCTGGCATGTACAAACAATCCTAACTGTTATATGACAAACTAAAACTGCTTATTTACGTTCTTTATTGGCGATATGAGTAGGAGGTGAAACCACGCCTAATGATGATGATAAGGGCCCGTTCAACCATCACAATTCAGAACTATTTGAAGTGAAAAAGATATTTCGTCCATTTTTATCTCCTTTTTTTCAGATATTTCCTCTCTATGCCATTTGTTTCTATATCTGTACACGGCTCCTAATAACGTATAAATAACAAAATTGTTTACATCTCGTAATGTAAATACTTTACACCGTGTTGAGCCACAGGCAGCCCAAGCTCCAGCTGTGAGATGATTATCTTGCTAAATAAGAGTCATTGTGAAATCATACTAGTTTGGATGAGAATCTTTCCGACCGCTCTTAATGTTTCACGGGAAAGATTGAGTTTGTAGTGAATTGAAATGAGACTACGGTGTATGTGCTTGGATTCTGCGTTGGATTTGTTGCCGCCCTCTTATTTTGACCTTGGATTATTTGCTTCTCGGATCGGGCGTTCGGAAATGGAGTGCGCAGACTTGGGCTTCTCGCCTCTCAGCTCTCCTGAGTAACGTTTTAACTACAAACCTTTTCATGGCAAATAGGCGTGAGAGTCGAAAGCGAGGTATTTGTCAGTGTGGGTAGATATTAATGGCCGGTTATCGAAACAAAATTTAGCCGCTGTTTGACGAAACCGCGTCCTCAACAATCCTCAATTTAGCTGGGCCTTTTATCTGAACATTTGTTTTTGTGAACAGTGTCAAGAGGGCTGAAAGCTAACAGTGGAAGGAAATTTATTTAATTCAACCCTCTCATAGAGAAAGCGTGAGGCGCGCTGACTAGGTAACACCGTGGTCGTGTAAATAACTGGCCCGTTAACTGTCTTATGAGGCAGATTTCGTACTGACCAGATGATAAAGGAATCCGCGATACTCCTCTTTTCGAGTTAAATTTCTAAGTTTTCCTCAATGAAGTGTAGATCAATGTAACACTCCCTTTTTGACAGTATTCAATTTGATCAACAGGTTGGCAATGCTAACTGACATGCTCTCTCCCTCTTTGAGCCTGCCTCTCTTTGACCTAATTCTTAGCCATGTCTGACGTATTTTTTCATTTTTGAAAACTCCCCCTCTACATTTCAAATTTATTTCGCTTTTTTTCTGATCTCATTTTTGAATGACGTTTTTAAGCTACATAATGATAAATAATTGCCCTAGAACAGTAAATCAATTGCAATCAAAACTTCTGAAATTTATTTGAATAGTTGTAAAATTAGACTGGCACGTTCATGAAAAGGTTTTGTTTATTTGAACTCTCCGCCTAGCGTATTCAATTTCTAGGTTAAATCCAGTAATCTGATGAAATGATTCAATAATAATTCATGCGAAATTCTATTTGTTTTGTTTAAATCAACTTTCTAAAGAACTTAGTACCGACTAATGGTAAGCATCCTAAATGTGAGTTTCTTGCTCGCCAAATTGTACAACGAAAACACTCCGTGAGTAACATAACCATAACTAGAACATTTATTTGTAGTTAGAATGAAATTGAAGGAACATATTCTGGCACGAACAAACAGACCCATGTGTATGACAAACTACTGCAATTATCAAAATTTTGTTATGCAAATATATGTAGTGCATCAATACGTTAGGCAATATAGTAACTGGCTCTCATTTTAGTAATACCGCTAGTAACAGTCCGATAAGCAAAGAAAGGCAGGTAAGTTTCATTCAATGTCACCCTACGAGCCCTTCAATTGTTATTTTTACATTAAAACTATGAGAGAATGAGACTGAATTACCAAAGGTTATCAACCAAACGCTTTTAAAGCATCTTATAGAAAATGTTTTTCCGTGATGAACAGTATCAATTAAACGCCTTGCAAAACCCCATCGGGAGTAGAGAAGAGACATTAAAAGTAACAACAACAGTATTGTACAAGTTGTACTAGCAGATGGTAAAGTATTTTGAGTACGCTTTTACGAAAAGCACTAAGGACTCTCGACCTGTCTTTTCTCGGTCTTCGTACGTATCTTTTCTGTAAAACGAGCTTACTTACAACAAACTCATTTCAATCTGGTTAACTCTGTTCGTCTCCGTAACTCTGTTCCCTTCCTCGCTCTTTCTCACTCACTGATTCTCACGAGGTAAACTCTATTTTAAATACTTACATATTCGCTATTGGAAGGCATCAGTGAGCATGATGGCTTACTGATTTTGGAAGATTAAACATTTGTTGGCAGAACACTATAACCCTCACGCTTTTACAAAAATCTAACAAATGAACAACTTCGCACTTGAATGCTTCCCATCATCCAAATCGGTCTTTCACCGAGTTCATGTGGCACCAAGTTTTCTTTCACGTGGGGCTCCTGTTCTGTGCGCTTGAGCTCTGCTGAGATTTATTCATGATTTAAACGAAATACGCAGCTGCTCTGGTAATTTGCTGTCTAAAGGCAAAAATCATCTGCTGATATATGGTAGCAGGATTGTTCCATCAGACCACAAGATCTGCAAACAGTTTTACTTTACTTACAAAATAACGATACCATTGTCGACTAGGAATTCAGCTTTTTATATGAAAAAACAAAAACAAAACAAAAAACAGCAAAAGAGCTGACGCAATTTATCCCCTCATAATTTCAGGTTTCAGAGCGTACAACAAGAAATTATGAAGTCATCGCCAACATATATCTTCACACTAATCGTTTTGAGTGTGAATATTTTTTGTGGTAAGTGCTCAAACTCAAGATTATATACTCGAAAAGTACCAGATACACTGCCTTGGTCCTGATTCATTCAATTGCATATGCATTGTGAGTTTGAAGAACACATCTCCAAAAAAACACTAGTCAATTTGATCAGTGGGGTGATCAGTGCTTCAGTTATCGTAGGATAACCATTAAAATTGGCCGGCTGTAAGAAACAAAATAGCATTCAACGCTGACCCTTCACAACACCGACAACCTCCTTTCAGGATTACAAGAGAGTTTTTTTTTTCCATGAAATCTAAGCCACCGTTAATAAAAACAGGCATAGTTTCTGATTATGCACAAAGACGGGTCTCGATTCATTCGCATGCACTTGCACTGACGAGTTTGATGGAGACACCTACGTAAAGCGTGTATAAATTTTAACAAAGCATCATGAAATGCTTCTGTTTCCTCATGGAGATGACTCTTACTGCTGTGAATGTACCGACGGATATGAAGGACAAAATTGTGAAGAAGGTAAAGGCACGATAAGTATAGTCGTTTCAGACATTTTTTGCGCATAGAGACTACTACTTTGCCAATCGTAATGGACTACTACTCTGCCAATCGTAATTTTTCATTCGCATAGTGAGCTCCTGCAAATCACATAGATGTAAAAATAGTAGAACATCCACAATGACGGATCTTGATTCTTTCTCATGCTTCTGTTTCCTCCACAGTGCTCCCTTGTCCACCTGCCAAGAAGACGGACGATCCTAAAGGTCGTTGCTGTGGTTTTCCTTTTGTGTATAAAGGGATAACTTACCAATCTTGTACCAAGGTCGGTTATCACAGATTGTGGTGTTCATTAGACGAAGGAGAGTACAAAGGACAGTGGGCTAACTGCGGTAAGCAATAAAAATTACAAATTCAGCAGTTTTGAATACCCAGAGAGGTTTTCTGGAAATAATTGTTATCAAAATTGGCCAGTTGTAGGAAACAAAATAGCATTCAACGCTAACCTTTCACAACATCACAACATCAACAACATATCAATAGTTGACAGTCAACTAAGTGTGTTTGGTTTCCCTCAGCGAAAAACAAAATGTTCTCTAGACACCAATCATTACCTTTGATGTGTCAACAGCACTTAAATACCTTTGCATATTTCATTTACTGAGATAAAGCCCTTCATGTTTAAGGTAATTTTCTGTTTGGAAAAAGTTCTACTTACCTCAACAAATGAATAACCGAGGCCCCCTAATGCAAAGTTTTGTTATGAACCTTAGTGAACCCGTGCACAGACAACCCTTGCCAAAATGGGGGAGTCTGCACTGTAACTGGAGATGACTCTTACAGCTGTGAATGTGCCGACGGATATGATGGACAAAATTGTGAACAAGGTACAGGCACGATAAAAACGGTAGTTTAAGACATTTTTTGCGCAGAGACTACTAATTTGCCAATCATAATGAACTACTACTCTGCCAATCATAGTGTTTCGGAATAAAGCAATGGTGTGTAACTTTCGAGCTTTTCCAAAAAATCGCGGCCCCTTAACCTCGCCGATTTGACTGAAATTTGGCCTGATTTTACAGTCCTAACCACGAAATGGGCATTAAAACGTTCTTGTTGTTTCTGCTTGGTATTTCCAATGTTACCTCGATACCTCGATCCAGAAGTGCCATTTACTTTGGACAATGTTTGTTCACAGTACTTATTTCGTCCCGAATGAGATCAAATTCCGGAAGTTTTCCGAATATTATGGAGGTAACTGTTGATTTTAGGCAAAAGCAAATATCTCTGCGCGGCATTACCGCAATAGGATAAATATTGATTACCCAATGAATGTAAAAACTCGATCAGGCATTAACGCTCGGAATGGTTGATTTCGCCTACCGTTTTGAGAACGAAAATTTTTGAAAAAGGAAAGATTCCCATGAATTCCAACCAAGTTCATTTGGTGGTGATTGGTGATTTACTCAAATCTGATGCCTGTAAGCTACACTTTGCAGTTGATCCTACTTGTCACGCCAACGGTTTAGATATTTGGTAAATTACATCATGTTTTTGAGTGGGTCTTAATTTCGTTTATGTTGTTATGGTATGTTTAAATATTTTTATCGGTATAAAGAAAATCCAACCTTTCGGGATGCTTCCTTGCAATTATTTTTCTTTTTTTCACTAAAGATGAGCGCAAAATGAGTACATGAGCGCTCTCACGAAGGACAATGACATGAATTGAGTGTTGTTTGAAATAAACATCACCTTGTTGGAATGCGCACGTAATCGCTACTTCAGTTTTCTCTAAGATCTATTTTACTTTGAGAGACTATTCGTGAAGGATATTTTCTAAAACTCCTTTCCATGGGTCTAAACTAGCTTAACACCTAGTCTATGTGAAAAACGGAACAACGAATTCGAATTAAATCCTCATTCATCACTGAACTGTCAAATTACCTTGTCCAAACAGGATCCTCAGATAAAGCAATAAATTTCCATTTTCAGGCTCAAGAATAAACTTGATTGCCTGTACATTCCCACCAGTTCAAGTCGATGTCTATCCCCAACCAAATTCCGTTTCGTGTGTGCGGCCAGTGCCAGAGTGTATTACGTTGGCATTTAAGGCTTACTTTTGGTATAAACTTGAGGAAATGGCAAAATACCCCTGTTTCAAACATGATGAATTCGCATTTGCGCGACAAGTAAGTACGGTATTGTTAATCTTAAGTTTGCTGCGATTTAAGTCAAATAAATGACCAGCTGCTATCACCAATCATCAATATATCAGAATAAGAATGCTTCTTTTCCAAAATCCTTTGTTCTCAAAACGTTTAATTAGTTACCAAAAGTCATCCCATTGCAACAATTTTGCTTGAACATCATTACAATATAGTAAATTAAAACATATTTCCAATATATTAGGAAACTTTTTGGATGATAAATGTACTTAAACCGTTTTCTTCTGAACGTTGAATTGATCTAAGAGCTGTTAGGACCAGGCCCAAACATAGCCAGGTCATTACGGGTTGATAATTTTTTTCCTTCACTGTTTCATTTCCCCAATTTTTTTATTAATGAAATCTGTTCATCTATAGACAAACGTTGTTTAAAGTAAATGGTAACCCCTGGATCGAGGTAACACTGGAGATGTTAGGTTACTAAGTTGGGGTAAATTTTTCACTGTTCAAGGTGGCCTAAAGCCACCCTAAAATGTTGGAATCATCTGTTAGTAAAACCAGACATTTGCCATATGTTTTAAAATAAATTTTATGAGGAAGGAAAGATCGTTTTATAGATATCACGAGATTTCAAGAAATCTTTACGATAGGACTCGAGTTGAATTTAAAAGATCACTTTCGATGCGCTATATTGATGGGCATGTATGGGCAAACCAAGTGCACTTTCCCGTTTTTTTGCCATGCAAAAATAACTGGAACTTTTTGATATCCATTCCGTGATTAGGACCCTAAAGCAAGACTTCATGCCAAATTTCAGCCAAATCGATGAAATGAAGTGGCCGACGAAAGTTCGAAGGTTACAGACTATCGCACTTAATAGCCCTCAAAACGTATCTTTCACCAAAGCAAACAGGATGCCGACAAGTTTTTTACTTACTTTAACAACTGTTAAATTCATTTTGGAATCTCTCGGCTGACAAACCTCAGATACATTTTTACCACAGATCAAATCCTCTTCTAACCATGCATCGTTTAATCCCGTTTGCCTTCAAAGTAGGATTGGGAGTATTTCCACAAGAATCAAGGATTCACCCAGATTAGTTTTTTTCAGTCCTTATGTTTCTGCTGAGACCTTGGGTGGAAATTTTTAACAATATATAGCCATACATGTACTAAAAAAGTCAGACTTCTCGTTGGACAGATGCTTTCATCCATCTGTTTGTTTGTTTTTTCCACCAGACCCGGACTCAAGTTTTTCCCCAAGAGTTGAGGATTCACCAATATTTTTTTTTCAGTCCTATATGTTTCTACCGTGACCTGAGGTGGAAATTTTGAACAATGCATAGCCAAACATAGACTTCAAAAGTCAGACTTTTCAATTTACAGATGTCTTCATCCATATCTTTGTTTTTTTTTTCCATCAAATTCGAGCTCAACATTTTGGCCCATTGACTTCTTCCAAATTCTTTTGTTGTAGTCGCCTAGAAATCTGAAGGATGTTTCACGGAGCACAAGAAGAAAGCGAAAATGGTCCTCAAAAGGAAAATCGCTACCGTTGGTGGAAAGAAACTAAGCATTCAGGATGTATTTGATGAGTGCAAAAGTGCAGCGGAGAAGAAAGGTTTCAAGATTTTTGGTATTCGGGTGAGTACAAAAGATTTTTTTAACTTAGCCTAACGTTCATAGGACTATTAAGTGGCCCAAGACTTCCCCAAAATTCAACGCTTGGTAGTAGTTGTGTGAGATATCCGACTCAGTCGAAAGAAACACTCGGTTGTATGGGTATAACCAAAATGCATTACACTTTTCATGGCTACTGCCTCCTATGGAGGCGAAGCCATATTGTTTTCCTGTTGAGTGAGTGTGGGTAACGAAATCTGCCGAATTTTACCTGATATTCCTCGCTCTTGACTTTTGTTTGTTTCGGAACATCTTCGATCGTTCAACTCCTTGTGACGATTTCTTCGAATCGCTTCGAATGTTGCACGGAATATTATCGGGTGATCATACTGTTTTTCGGTACCAAGTTATTGTTTGTCTCGTAGTGTACTACAGAAGACGATAAACATCTCACAATCATTTCAGGATGGCACGTGAGAAAAGAAAGCTTTACCTTGCAGAAATGTCCAAAAAGGACTGGTCGGCGCATCATGAAAATTTAGAGGAAAAATTTTTTCTATAAAGAGAGAAAATTTTACTGTTTGAATCAGCGAATTATTCCCAGTAGATCTGAATTTTTCCAGTTCTAACTGTGACACCACAAAAGATGATAAACACCTCAAAATAATTTCACAGTGGCGTCTCCGGCACGTAATTGAAAAAAAAAAGAAAAGACTTTTTCCTTGCAGAAATATCTAAATAGGTTTGATCTGCACATCGTGGAAACTTTGAATACGAAAACTGTACTTACCCGAAAGAAAGAGATCAATTTACCATTTCAATCAGCGACAAATGCTCAAAAGAGCAGCTAAAGTTGCGAAGCGAGCAAGGTCCGAAATAGGACACGTTAAGTTCATCAGGATGACGCCATTCGATGGAATGATGGAATAGTGGAATGGCGGAATATTCTACAACACGGAATGCCTTATTGTATGAAACAAAAGTCGCACAAAAAATAGAATTGCAATGAAATAAGAAAATGATTTATAATTAACTGGCAAATCAATCTTGAAAGAAGGCTAGTGTAATCATTATAGGAGCCAAGGGATAGACCGACAGAGGGATAGTCAGGTTCTTGAGCTAGCCCCTATAAGTTATTATTACTATTACTTTTGTTATCATCATCATCATTATTATAATTTTTATAATTTTATTATTAATATGATAACTTGTTACCATTTCATTAGTAGTTGAGTATCAATTATTCCCTATATTCTTGAATCATCTTTCTCTTGTGGAACAAGGCTCTCATAAGGATGTGGGATGCTGCACGTTTTGCATGCGAAACACATCTTCTGCAACGCTATCTCATCACCTTACAACCCCTGGTTCTTTTCAATGCTACAATAAATTGTGCTGTATCAGTAGCCATATGTAGTCTTAACGGCCTATTTTTTTATGCTTGGTTTGTAGTGATCGCTTTCAAAACGTTGCAGATGCGATTTTAACTCACAAGGTAGACTGTAATCTTGATTGCCAACCACTTTTACTCTTCTTCTCTGTCTGTTGTACAGAACAGAAATAAGTGTTTCACAACAAGTGATGGAAAAGTGCAGGAGTTTAAAAAGTATGGAGTATCATCCAAATGCAAAATAGATGACAACGGCCTTGGTGTTGGAATGAAACTCGCCAACTTTGTCTACACAAGGTATCTTTGACGAGGGCTCTTGCTCACATTTTCTTAAATGTTAATTCTCAATGCTAAAAGTATAGCAAATAATAAAAGCCAGAACAAGAGAAGCATCTGAGCGGGCCGGAATCTTAAATTCTCAGCTCTGATTGGCTAATCATGTTCTCGTAGCTGGTCCAACTTTTTATGATACGGACCACGGTACGGATTTTTTCCCTTACCATTTACAGGAAAGCAGAAAAGGCAGACGAGCATAGAAAAATGGATTGGTTAATCACCAGTCTACGTCGGTCCGTATGGGAAAAACTGTACCCTTGGTCTTGGGAACTCAAGTCCTCGGGCACAGAATTTTCTATACGATGGGAGTAGGGATATTTTTATTTAAGGCGGCGGGGAGGTTGCATTGTTGTATTTACATTTTAAATAATACTGATGTCACTAGTCTTTGGATACCAATTAGAAGAAAAAAAATCAACAAATCACACACAAAAAAACCAGTTATCAAGAAAGTAAGGTAATTCACGAATAAGATAAAATTAAGTAGCGACATTTAAATAACACGGGACAGTAGCTCAATATTAACATAAACGATGTTATTATTACCGTAATGACTCGATTTAGCGCCCGAGCGCTTATTTACTTTCGGTACCTCAAGGGAGAGTGCTTATCGGACACAGTGCACTTATTAGGGACCGGACGTAATTTCTTTTTTGAGGAACAGGATAATGTGTAGAGCAAAGTTTTGATATCTATTTTAAAAAGGACCTATAACGGACTGGTTCTCCCTGGATCCTTCATGAACCTTCCTGGATAGAACGACCAGCCGAGCAATTGTCACAAAATTTTTAGATGAGAGATACATTTAATAGATGAGAGACTGAAACGGAGACCACCGTTCCTGTAATGAGGATTTAAGTTTGCAATTAAAGGAAGATGAACCACGATTGATCTCGATGTACATGTATTATTGGAATTAGGGTGCTTTCTCAATAGAGGCGCTTATTGGTATAGGGGCGCTTATTGACCAAAAAAATTCGAGGGGCGCTTATTGACAAAAAAAAAATTCGAGGGGCGCTTATTGACAAAAAAAATTCGAGGGGCGCTCACCGGAGAGGGCAGTAAATCGAATCATTACGGTGTTACGATTATTTATGACACAGCCATGAACATAAAATTTTTATTGTTAACATGATAAATCGGGTTTTCATTTTAAATAATCTTTTCTAATCTTTTCCTTAGGCCGTAAAGATAGGCTCAATGCAGAAATACAGCAATGTACGGAATGGATGGGATGGAATTAGTAGTTCTACCTGAGTAAATTGAAAATCTTGCTGGGTTAAGGGTTTTAATTCATTAAAGGGTTAATCTGAATTGATTGTGTTTATAAAAGGGTCAATAGGGCTCAATTTGGAAATAAAAAACGCGGCACAAATGGGAAGAGTTTTTGTCATCTTTCATTGAAACTATAGCAGCATTCTACGGTTAACTTGTTTTCCTTGAGAGGAAGTCGCAGGCCATAAGTTCCTTGGACGCAAAGGGCGAACCCACATATTTGTGTATCTCTTTGTTGTTTATAATTGAGATTTTTGATATAGTATAGTTGGTGTTTTTAGGCAATAGAACGAGTAATCATATGAAGATTGAAGTCTCCCACAAGATGGTTAGCATGTAAGAATGAAGACTCAGGAAATCTGAGAACTTCTACAGGAAAACGTTTAAAGTTCCAATTCGCCATGCTCAGACGGAAGTAAATGATTTTTCCCTTAAATACAGCAAATATAAAACTACGCACCTTGATGGTTGGATGCTCGGGTGAACCAACTTACTTTTATTTCGCATTTCAGTTCAAATAGTGGTAAGTAATTAATACACAGCTAGAAAGTTATAATGATTTCTACAAACTCAGCGGCCAAGTTTCTCGTAAAGTTGTAGAAGTGCTTTCTAGAAAATAGATATCATTGACGACTTGTAACTTTTGCAGTCTGTGCAACTTTAGCAATCTCTCTTAAAATATTCGCGACTACGGCAGCAACGGGTAAGGGAGGCACGAGTCGCACACCAGACTATAAACCTAAAATCTCTTTCTCGTCTTTCTTCGCTGTGGAGTCCGGCCTAGATCTTTAAAATGCAGAGATAAGATCCTTTTTGTACGGCTTCACGCGAACTAGTAAAAACTTTCGTCTGCGTCAAAAAAATGGCACAAAACTAGAAGGGTAACAAAAAATTAGACATTTACTCATTAAAAGTGCAATACTAAGGACAATTAGGTATCAAAACAATATGGCTTCCAAAAATGGCAACCAGCAACATTTAACGAAGAGCGCCAACAAGCGAAGTGGTAATTCCAATTCGGTCAGTGCCCCTACTTATCAGCAAACATAATTCGGTGACAAGCGTCCCATCCATCGCCTGGATGGCCTAACCAGGAACGAACAATTATTTGCCAATATAAGAAGAAAGAAAAGAAGCAGGTGAGTGGGCGGGAATTGAAGAAACGTCAGAATAAACAACGTCAGCGAGACTAATCGATCAGTTCTGTAAAGTCCTAAATAACTACGCCAAAAGCTCTTCTCGAGTTTTTTCAAATTGATATAAAATGTTCAGTTAAACCACAGAGAAATAAATCACAATTTGCACCCAGTAGACCATGGGCTAGGGAATACGAACAGCTTTTGTTCTCTTGACCATGGAATACTCGAAATTATTGCGAGAAGCGCCATTGGAAGCCGGAATTTACTTTGCTTAAGCTTCACTGTAACTCAATCTCATTTAAGATTTCTTAAGTAATTTAAATAAACGTAAGATCTTCAAATATAATAATTATCAAAAATATTAATCATTTGGTACAGTACTGAAAGAACAGTAAAATTCTTGAAGTCAGTTCGAAAATGTTATCAGCAAATTATGTTTCGACAGCCGCATACCGCTTCGGTTTAGCCACAATGTTTCATTCTCCTTTCTCCGCGAGTGAATTGCACTCAAATTTTCGAAGTTTTTAGGAAATCTTAAAATAAACTACATAACATTCACGTGAGAAATGATCCTCGCAGTTGAGCGGCAGTTAGAGGTCTTAGAGTAATTGCGGGTAAAAAGCTTAAAAATAAGTTGCGCTTGGACAGATTTCGAACCTTTAAGCAAAGTTTTTTAAATAAGAGTACAGTGTTTCGTTAAACAGTGGTTTAAAGGCAATTTCTCAGTTGGGCAAATACGCACTGAGCCAAAAGGTTTCCAACATCCCTTCCTAGCAGTTGTCTTAGCAATTCTAATTTTCTGTTTTCCCATAGGTAGAGCGCAACCAGGGTAGAGCTGGTAAATTTGTAGTTTTCGTATTCGAAGGTAGACCATAAGATAAAAATAAACTGTTATTATTACGGCAGATCCCCAAAAAACACCCTGAAAGGGTAAATAGAATTTTTCAAATCAGCCAACATCTATTTTGGCTCCCGCTAAGATGTAGGGTGGTGCTACGCACTTCGCCGGTAACCAAGCGAGTAACGCAAGTTTCTTTGCAAGACGTTTTGTCGCGATCGATTTATATTTTCTCCATTTCTGGATTGCCATATACCTTTCCCATGCAATCACGGTCAAGTGAGAGAGCACAGAGGTGGATGCAAAGTACATGACAGCAAGTCCCATGAGGTCTAATATACAGACTTTGTTAAAAAAAGTTTGGTGAACAATCAATAAATCAACGACAGAAGTTAACGGCATGGATACAGCACCAATTAGTATGTCTGCAAAGGCCATACTGCACAACAGAATAGTCGACGCTCTTTGCAAACCTCTCCTCCTGCTCACGGCCGCGATTTCTAACACGTTGAGAAGAACGATTACGGGAGAGGCAAGTGTTGTGATACCAAATTACAAGATTAATTTCTGTCGTCCGTAGCGTTGTTCCCGGGCAGTGTGCGAGCTATTCTGAACAAATATAGAGCGTCCAGACCATCTTCTGTTGGTTGTAAAGGAAATGCCTTTTATCCCTTCATAGCAGGATAGCAGCTGCTTCTTCATGGAAATGCAGTTTCATTGTTTTAGCGCATTTTCGGTATTTTCCTTCAACTCGTATTTTGGCTTTGGCCGCGTTTAGTTTGATGTGATGAATATAGTCGCGTTCATGTCGGCATAAATAATGGAAAGATAAGAATACCTGTGTATTAACGGGTTAACGTGTAGAGTGTCTTTTGTCTTTTTCTTTCGTTTTGTCTTGGTTTTCTTGGTTCTTTTTTACACTGGTTGTAACATGAATGGTAGCTCACCCAATGTGAGATGAATTTCAAAACTCCATGAAGGGGAATATTAGATGATCACACTTGAATTGTTATGGACTTTGGTGACCAGTAGTGCCTCTTTTACCATTCTCCTTAATTTGTGCACGCAGGGTTTCCAACAAATCACTCATAAAAAGGCCATAGGAATGAAATGAGAAGTGGAGAGGACTGAAAAAAAAGTGTTCAGTTTTCACGCGCGCTGATTGGCGTGAAGGAGGTGATTCGCAAGTATTAATCACCTCTGAGCAGCTGGAGAGACGAAATAGCACGTCAAGAATCTAGTATCTTGCAATCTTTGGTGTTTTATAGAAATAATCTAAACATATGTTCTTCACACAGAACGCAGTATGTTAGGCTTCAAGTATATTCGGCATTTCAACTAATACTGTGCTAATACTGTGTCGGGATATGCCTGTTATTTTCGTTTCAGAATTTGAAGTAACCAACTAGTGAAAATTGCTTTTCGCGGCCGCTGATTGGCTAGTTCGGAAGTGAATAGCAAGAACTGGTCACCTTCAAGCAGCTAGAGACAACATTCTGCGTCAAGAGTTGAATTTCCCACCATTTTTCTGTGTAATGACAGAAATAAATGAAGTTTTGGTATTGTGTGGTATATACTAAAACAATTATTCACCTCAATGTCGCTGAAAGTGGTGTAAAGACTATTCACCTCCACTTCGGCGAACAATTGATAATAATTTTGCAATCTACCTAAGAGAGAATTGTTCTCTCGTGCTTACTTGCCTTCATGATTGACTTGACCATTCCGTGACATACAAGTTGACACACAAAATGCATGTATGCCTTTGTACAAGAACGGACTTTTTAAACCCATCATAGTTTTTGTATCAGTCCATTATTTGAGGTAAAAAAAGATTACACAATGAACCATGGAGAGTGGCCACGATCGCTTTTTGTTTTGCTGCTTTTTCTGCACCTCTGGTTGGAGACATTTTAAACGCTCTGTTTCTGGCTTGCGTCATTAGCCGAGTCATAAATTTATAGTTTTGCTTTTTCCCCTTCTAAAGGCAGCAGAACTTTGAAATCTGTGGGTTAAGACTGTTGCATTCAGTATAAATATAGATACATTTTCTTTATTATTGTTTTTCGTGTTTGCTTTTTTCTGCCTCTACGTTTTGCATGATTTTGTAATCAACTTCTTTGTACATAGATTATTTAATGCAATGTAACGCTAATATATATAATACAATAAGAATTTAATTTAACTGAAATGTGCCGTTACGATTTGCTGAAATTTCTTCTTAATTACACATATCTTAGCGAATTGGAAAACACGATGTTACTCCAGCAGTAGTATCACCATTTTTGATGATGCCCTTGGATTGCACATTTACGGCTACTTTTGAAGTTATTTTGGTTCAAACTGAATTTTCTGAGAGTCTAAGCAGTTCGCATTGTTGAGTAATGTATGGTTATTTCTTACTTGTGAACGTTCGTGTCTCGAGCTTAAACTCTTGTTCCACTATTTTCATTTATGCAAATTTCAATTCATGTTCCCTTTGGTAATTCGAGGAAGAGCAAAACCAAATCAGACTATTTGAACATAATTGGAAGCGGTTACAGTGTTGTGTATATTTATTTTAATTTACGTGGAATGTAACTAGAGCTAAATACTTTCATTTTAGGGTTGTACGATCTTCAGAGGAATTGCTTGGTCCAAATGACTCTCAACTTCTAGCACAGTTCTTTCAGGAGACACAGTTGCAGTCGGTTTACAGATGAAACTTAGTGATAAGGAGTACTTCCTGTATTCTTTGTTACTGAGGAAATAAATCCACGGATTTACAGTGGAATTGAACATAGACAGCACTAATGAAATTTTTACCCCAACATCCGTGACTTGGGTAATGTCAAAGTTTATCAAAACGAAACAGATTTGACTAGGAAACCAGCAGCCTGTTAAGACAGCGGCTGTGATAACACACATGCGCAGCAGCAGTTTTTGCTGGTGGCGCGGATGCTGTGTTATACCAGATACCGACGGGGTATTCTTGATTCGATACATTATATGGATGAACGAAGCCCAAGTTATAAGTGCAGGAAGGACAAACATTACTGTTACGTTGGTTAAAACGAGTGCTCGTTGTCTCTTCTTCCCCAACTTAACAGTTTCACACGTATTGTTCTCAAACTTAACGCGAAAGATATTGAAAGCGTGCATTAAAACACTTGAAACTATGATACACAAGATATAAAGTAAAAGTCTTTTCCGAGAAAAAAGGACCTTGTATTTGAACGGTTTTATAACCGAACACCATCGTTCCAGGGATATAAGCAAGACGATTAAAATTGAAACTTTGCCGAAGTAAAACACCAGGAAACTATTTCCGAAAAAGTAGCAGAAGAAATAGCCCGCCGGCCCGGCGAGATGTGGAATGCGGATAATACGAAACAGTGGTGTCGCAAAAATAGTGGCCCCTGCAAGTTAAAGAAAAGCGAACAATAATTATAAAGGACTTTCCCTAGATTTATTATTATACCTCGATACGTGATCAGAAGATGCATTTAATCCACGCTCTAACAAGACAGTCTATTGATTTGTGATAACAAGAAAAGAATAACGTATCAGCCATTAGGGATGCTTAGAGTTTCCCACACGAATGCAGCAGTCATTTATTTTCGCTGAGGGGCTTTGAGGATATAAGTGAGTCTGCATGTAGTTCTCGGTAGCTAATTCCAAAGAGGATGAAATGTTAGGCCTAATTTTCTAGCTTTTACTTTATTAATTGCACGTTAATTAATTCATACGGCTCCATTAACACTTTCGCTCCCAAGATCTCATAATATTCTTTTGTCTACGATACAATTCTTTTGATGTTAGTTTGAATAATTTGGTATGGGATGAACTAAGATCCCCGAATTGATATTTTCTTCATGATCCACACTTGTCTGCTTGCTATTATAATGATATTGTGAGCCAAAAAATTAAGAGCCAAAAAAATCTCTCGTTCACAGAAAATTTGAATGATTTTAGTTAGAGCGCAAAGAGCTGAAATAAAACAACCAGAATTTCAATTTTTGCCATTTGCCGTAGATGTTATTCTTAACATATCTCAAATAAAGTTCATGTAAATGTACTCTGATCACTGAAACAAGTGACGTCGCCTTTTGAAAAGATAACTTCTCAGTTAAATTAGTTCAGCTGATTTGTACCCCTTGTTTTCCCACAGTCTTGTTTTTTTTTTACCTTTTGCCACGTTTTTCGGAAGTAAGAATTTCATTCCTGGTTCAAAAGACTGTCACCTTTAAGCACAGAGCAACTTCGAACAAATCATTCTATTTGTACCTGTTAACATGTCAGCTGTTGCTAAAGTCAGCAGTAGAATGTTGTGAGGTTTTTTCAACAGGAAAGGTTTGTTATACAACAGGAAACAAAATGTAGCGTTGCCTGCGATGGACGCCGCACCAATGACGCCATAAGTTGCTGCAATGGTTTGAGTCGCACCCATGGCTGCCATACGTGTACTTGATGACTCCCGGATGCGCCACAAAAATCTACGGGTGAGACATAAGGAGTGAAAAAGAGTTTGAGCATCTCATAGCCAACATAAAAAGTTCAGCAAGAATTATAATCTCCCATGAAGTAACAGCGGGTATTTGCATACCTCGACTTGGCCTACTCTGAATAACGCCGTAGACAATATTTCTCTCTGTAAACTGTCCTGTCGAAACGGCTTCGTCCAGTTTTCAAAAATCCACTTCCAACAGCTTGCCCGATGGAAACGCCAACTGTCAAGTTCAGCAATTGTCAATTATATATACACTATCTTAATCAACGCGGAAATTGCTTCGGATATTAGTTGAACCTTTTCGCTGCATTCAAGATGAATAGCTCCTTTGCGATAAACTGAGAAAATTGTCAAATGCATCAATAAAAAAAAAAAACACTCTGAAAACTTTCAAGATAATTTAGTTTGATCAATTAAGTTGATAATGTAGATTGGCCACCATATAGCGTTTCTTAAGCTGAAGTTTTGAGCGTTAGCCCTTCGTTAGAGCGACCATCTTTTGGGTCTAAAATATCGTGTCAACTAATTAACTCACAAATGGAACAACAAAATCAGATTATTACCAGAAAAGAGACATAAAATTAAGTATAAGTTTCAGTTAGTTTGCAAAGCATCTGGACGAAAAAGAAGCAAAATAGTACTTTAATAAGTGACAGGACTGTGTTAATATCCTGTATGTAATTAGTTGTTTGGTCTGTAAAGTAATCAGTATCCTCGCATTTGCACGAAATTTCCGCAATTTTTATTAACAAGTGTACATACACATTGTACGCTGAGATAGATGGTGATATTTTAATTTCCTTCAATAAACAAAAGATAAATTTCTTCTGGCATATGTCTTTAAGAAACCCTCCAAAGACTATGCAGGATTGAACAACATTGGTTAGGATTCGAAGAAATCTTTTCAAAATCTAAAACTAGTTTCACGACTCTGCACCAAACTTTTGCTACGACCTGAGCGATAGAAAGCCTACAGGCGTAATTTGCGGTGTAATTTACAGGCGTAATTTGGGTGAAAATGTGAGGCAAATGTAGATGGAAAGACACGTGCAAGCAAAGGGGGAAAATGTTAATTGCCTTTCGCATCTAGTATGGTCAGGGCGCGAACGAATTTAAAGCCGAATGAGATTTATCAAAGTAAACTCAAGAGTTAGCTTCGCATTTCTTTGCTTAAAATATAAATACCTAAGAGAAATAAAGCTTCTATGGAAATACATAGTTACACTGTGAAGGTTTAAATGGGGTGAGGGCTTTTACAGCTAACGTTTTCATTTCTTTAAGTTATGGTTCACAGAAAAAAGTTTTACGGCTAACATTTTTTATTTCTAACGACTATTTTTTTTGTGCCGTTTTACGGCTTACTTTTAACCCCTTTGGGAACCTTCAATAGGTACAACCAGTTTTCCCGTTCAATAATTCAAAAGTTTCCGTATCATGTCGGCGAAAACGAACTAAAACATTTCTGTCCACACCAGCCTTTCCGTGGTATTTTTACTTGTCCACACTAAGACAGCCGAAAGCGATAAAACGAGTGGGACCTGGAATTGAAAATAAAACCAATCTTTTTATGATCCCTAACTTTCGTCCTAAGTTGGCTTGCACATCGTACAAGGCTATGTTCAGCTGAAGACATTGAACAAAGCTCCAAATCAGCAAATAAAATATCAGAAGATTTTCTGCCATCTTGGACAAATGCTCCGTTTAGAACTGAAACCAATTACATCTAGTTATTTTTTGTTGCCGTTTTCAAAACATCTGTTTTCACATGTGCACGGCACTAAAAGAGAGCGTTTTAAAAACTATACGTTTGAAAAAAACTATAGATTTGAGACCGTTTTCGAAAGTTCCATAAATATTACAGCAGAGACAAATACAATCATTTTAAAGAGCACTCAGTAGGCCTTTTAGAGCTAAACTACCTCCAAAGAGGAAAAACCATAGTAGTGGAATGTACCGAAGAAAAGCCACAGAATCTTGAAACACCGAGTATGCATTGAAAAATAACTCATCTTCGCTATGTTGAGGTAGAGAGCAAGGTTTTTGCATGATTTATGCGGAGATCTGTCCTGAAAGCCGCACAAAGATCCATGGAATCTGAAACTTTTTCAAAAATTGTTCTACGAGAATCTTACAGGATCGCATTCCAATCATCATAGCAGTGGGAGATGGATGGGCAGTATGTAGAGAAGTGTTGCATTGGGCTTTGCAACCTTAAAATCTTCACGTGGCATAAAACCTACCACCATGGAATTGGCTAGATTTCAAAACAAAACAAGGCGATGCAAACAGCATTCATTTAGTGCATTTCAGTCTATATCGCGAACACGTGCTAATTGCAAACAAGGTTTCCAGTTTGCCTACCTCAATAATTGCATCTTCTTCACGTTAACTGTCCAGATTACTTTCAAAACCACTTAGGAACCCTTTCAGGCAGTAGCCTTGCCTTTCTTAAACACCATCTCCAGGAACTCATTTCAACGGTCGCTCGTTTTAATTTGTTTTCTTTGCAAAGGATTTGTCACATGGGGTTACTAAACACAAAAGAAGACAACTTAAAGTTTATTCTACCATCAAATTACCAGCTGATCATTGACATAACCTGCAAATGCCTTTCCCCATACTAGTAAATTTAAACTGTCTTTTAACGGAACACCTGCTTATGCTGCAAGCTAAGAGGAAGTCAAAAGTGGTGCTGCGTCGTTTGAGTTGTAATGAGATAACTCGAATTGATATAATAATGTAAATAGGCCACCGTAAGGTTGCTGACGTCTCGAGTAATAGCCCTTCGTCAGAGCAAAATGCAAAAGTTGAAGGTACATGTACCTCCCTTAACTTGTTACTTACCCAGGCCCCCGGTGGGCAAACCTGCATCCAGGCTCCCGTGAGTCGAGTAAAGTTAATCATTTAATCGAGCAAGACCTCGAGTTCGTTTGTGAATAAAATTGTTTGTTATGTTTTAATTGTCGTTCGCCCCTTCAATGCCACATATAGTACCTACACTTGTTAATTTCGGTTTCAGGTTTTGATATTTTTTTCGCTGTATGGAAGAGAAACTACATCTTGTGTTCTTGAATGACTACAGTTGTACTTCTCATAAAATTGATTTACATTGCTGGCTTCTTCTGGGAGGGGCTCATTTTCATTTTTATTTCATTATTGAAACAATTTACCTCGTCCAATAAAGCGTTGAAAACAACTTCAAGTACAGTGCTACCATTAATAGCTGCAATAAAAAAGACGTAACCTCTTCCTATTTATACGATATGTTGTCGAACGCATCGACATTAAATGTGACCACCTAATGGGTTTGAGCCTTTATCCGAACCTTTATTTAAACTATTTGATGATTTAGCAGTTATTACAGGAGTAAATGCATTCATACCACATCTATTAGGTATCGCACGTATTCGGTCTATTAATGCTTCGGCCACTTGATATCATTGTGTGGTTGATTTTATGATTTGATTCTGCATCGATGAAGAATACGTGAAAGAAGAACCATTGTTTCACGTGAATGCTCTTTCTGAGAAATCAAAAACGATTGTTTAAAAAAAAATGTATATTTCTTAGAAAACTGGAAGTCATCTCAACAATATCTGGCCGGTAGAACTTGAAGCGATTATAAACTTTGTTCGACGTCTCATTTGCTCATATTCGTATGATGACAACGAAATCGTTTAGAAAATATACCGTCTAACCTAATATCAGTTCCGTTTGACAGAGAGTGAGAAGGAAGAAATTTAAAACTTTAAGGTTGACAAATTATTGTTCTATATTTCTCCTGTTTCTTAGAAAAGCGGAAGTGTACACACGAATGATCTCGATTGGCTAGTTTTTATAGTCTCAAAACAAATAGATGTCTCTTAATAGGAATAATGGCCTGTAATTGGGTGCCAAGATGACGTTTGACACAAGGTAAACTGAAACCACGACATAACGGTTGGAGCAGTTGTGGAGTTTCACACTGAAATTCAGAGTGCACCACAAATAGTTCGTATCCGAAATGAGTCAAATGGCAAACGTTCGGCGTGACAGAGAAATTAGCCGTCTTCAAGGATCGCAAGCTCAAAATTGGACAAATTGGGTAAAAGCCATGGTCCCTCCAAATACTAAAGGAAATAATCTTGAAGCACGTGGACAAGGTCAAGTTGGTTCCATATGCACAAACATAAGATCTGCTTTCCCTGACAAGGCCAGAAACTGTGGAATTTATGAGTGGCGAGCTAAAGGAACGTTAGACGATCAACCCAATTATATTGTTTATGTTGGAAGCACGTGCAGGGATAAACCAGGAGCACTAAGGCGAAGAATTAACGAATACTGCACGGGTGGATCGCATAAAGCAAAACTCATGAATGACGCTTTGACAAAGGGATATGAGTTATGGGTTCGTGTTAAGACCTCGGAAGGAAGGAATAATGCTGAAGACATGGAGAACAAGCTGTTAGAGAAGTATGACTACGCCTGGAACTTTAGAGAAAACGAAGAGATCCGACATATACTGCCTCGAGGAAAGAAAAGTCGAGTCATGCGTTGTTTATGATGACGATGCCTTTGTTGTTGACTATGATGCGTGACATTATAAGTTAGTGCTAGCTTGTTTCCTTTTTTTACTCAAAAATGTTTACTTTCTGTTGGACAGGCTTCAAGCTGGTTCCTTATTAGATAATCCAACTTTTATATAAGTATGTCAGTAAATATAAGAAGGAGGATGAGTGTGCTCTCTGTTTTTGTCCAAAACGTTGTCACATAATCGTCAAATGTAAACAATGCAATATTGAGCTTTATGTAGTGCTTTATGTGGCACCTGAAATTTAACAGTAAATTGTAAAACCTACGAAGGCTATGCATGCATATTAATGTTGCTGTAGAAGGCCTACATAGAAAACCAGATCGTATTTAAAATTCGCTGCTTTCCTTCCGAGCATAAAAAACGGCCAGTTTACGAG